TTTTTCTCGATGTAAGAACCATCCTTGGACTTCAACGAACACTTTAAAAAAAGAATTGGCCAAATTAGTCCAGGCGTTTTGAGTTATGCGCTTACCAACACTTTTGCGATCCATTTTTATATAAGATTGGATTTAATTTACATGTTGTGTTTGTTCAATTTTTTTCCCCTGAATATAGAAAAAACTCGGTCAAAAAAACATTCGTATCAGTTGTCAAATATTCGTATTGTAAAGTCATATATAAATCGTCAGTTTTTGAGTTGGTTCAAGTATTTGTTTGATGGCCTAGTTCGAAAGAGTTTAAACACATTGCCCAGCAAAATATATTGCGTTTTCTTCGTAAAACTCAAATTTCGTACACTTGACCTCAATACTGATGTCAAATATTCGTATCGTAAAGTCATATATAATCGTCAAACAGTTTTTAAGTTGTTTCAAGTGTTTTGTTTTGTTGGTCTAGTTCAAAAGATTTTAAACACATTGCCCAGCAAAATATATTGCGTTTTTCTTCGTAAACTAAACTCAAATTTCGTGCACTTGACCCAATGCCGCACACAAAACGTTTTTTTTCTGTCTTCGAAAACAGATATTAATAGCCAAATATTTTGTTTTCATCACAAATTTCTCTAATACATTGGTCAATGACATATTTATGCAAAGAGTCTAAATATATTGTCATGTGTTCTTTTTTTGGTGACACTCAAACACCGCGCCGCCAAGGGGCGCCGGTCGCCGGCGAAGTCCGTCTGGCGCCATCCGGTACTTGTAAAATGTTCATATTAAAGTCTTAAATTCGCATAATTTGAAACATTTTTCAATAATTGTTATTATACTAAATAATATGATTAAATAATTAAAGTAAATAATAAGAATACAGATAACCGCAAATAGTATTGATTCGTTTTTTTTTATTGTTTTGTTTGTGTTTCGTTAATCTCGTTCGCGAAGTTTGATGAGCCCTGTAATTGCATAATTGTTTCGAAATGATTTGCGATTAAGACAGAATTACTTAGATTAAAACATGATAGGGATAGAATAATATATATTATATAACATTTAGTATGTTTGCAAATATATAGTGTAAGACTAATACACTTCTTTCTTTTTTTATTATATATTTTGTATTATGTTATTAGTATATATATATATATATATATATATATATATATATATATATATATGTATACCTAGAATTCTGATAGAAATATGTTAATGTTTATAAATCCTGATTTGTCGGTAAACTAAATTTCGCTTTTATAATCGAAATAGTACATTTACGTCAGTTTTGTTTCTATTAAATAAAAAAAAAAAATCTGCGAAAGATTTTTTGTTACCACTGAGAATCAATCAATTAGAGTTAGCAAATACTTTTTAGACTAAAGTATTTTGTCTGAACACTATTGTTTTATTTATGTTTATTAAGGCTTTTACGGAGGGAATAGTACGAGGGGCATGTAAAAAATAAGGTTCCCACATTTTTTTCAGGGTTGAGGCATTTTTTATTGCAATAAATATGTATACGATGGTATATATGTATACCATGGGAAAGCTTGTATTTTGAACTATTTTTCTACATGATCGCCAGATCTTTCAACGCATTTTTTCTGAAGAGTTTTCACTTCTGAAAACCCGCTTCGAAGAACTCCGCCGCCACGCCCTTGCTCAGTCTTCTTCTCCGGCGATTTTTAATGGCTCTTTTGAGTTTCGATAGTATCTCGCAGTACTTGTCCGAATTTATAATGAACCCTTTAGGCATAAACTCAATAAGCAAGTTACCTTTTTGGGCCCAAAACACGATGGCCTCTCGCTCCCTTGCTCGTCGTGAACGTCTGTGCGTCCTTATTTTTTACATGTCCCTCGTGGTTAGCATGTCAATGATTTGAAAAAAAAGTTAGTTTTGGGGAAACGCGCGGTAACAAGGGGCGCAAAGGCCGCGTACGCAAAAAAAAATTGCGTAGAGAACGGAAAGAGTTTTAAAAAAATGTATTAGCAAACAGCAAGTACCGAACTAAGATACTAATGTTATTTTCTAGTTTAGTGTAATTTTTTCTCTTTTAATTGTTACATCATGTATCTGATGTTGTATCTGACCAGCTGGATGGTTCTGTAATAAATTTGTATAATGTAATTGGTTTGCAGTATTAGTACAGTTTTTTTCTTACTTCATATTTTATCGTCGTGTATTTTCGTGCTTTTTTTTTAGTAGCGTGATGCAATAATGAATTAAGTTTTTTCGATTTTAATATTGTACTTTTCTATTTTTTCTTTCGTTTTTTTTTACGCGTATCAATGACGTTCTAATTCCCGCCGGAACGTCATTGCTTAGTGTTCAATTCGCGGCTTCATCTAATTGATCTTATCTAATAATAGGACACGACTTTTCACCATAATTCATAATGGCAGCTAAGGCGATCAGTTCGACCAACGTATTATGTGGCCTAGAAAACCTTGGTTAAATAGAGCGGGTGGGCAGGGACATTTCCCTTTGAAAAGTCGTATTCCTACGAACACAGAAACACTTGCAAAGGTAGAACCCGGATTTGCAATGTTCGGATCTGTAGTTCGGCAGTTAGATGAACGTTCATGTATTGTTCGGAAAGATGCTTGAACGGCACAAAACATTTTCTTTGCTCTTTTTTTTCGCTAACTTCATTCTCTCATGTTTCATACTATTATTTTTATACAAATTGTAAGTTTTCTGTTGCATTTTACTAACTTTAATATCTTACTATTTCATAATAAATTAGTTTTATATCATACGT